GGGAATCATTGGGCCTGAGCCCCCCGAGAGTCTAGGACTCCCTGAAGCACCCTCCTCCCAAAGGCCGCCTCCGTAGAGGCGTATGCGTCTAGCCGGTAATGCCTGATGAAGGGCGAGGGAGAGGAACAGGCGGCAGCCCTGCAAATCTCTTCTATGGAAGCCTGGGTGGCCCAGGCCACTGAGGTGGCCGCACTTCTGGTGGAGTGTGCGGTGATGCCCTCTGGGACCTGAAGTCCACGTGCCTCATAAGCCTTTGAGATGGCCGCCCTGATCCACCTGCTAACGGTTGCCGGGGACACCTTCCTGGCTCCCCGGGTAGACGCCTGAAAGGAGACAAAGAGGGCCTCTGAACACCTAAAGGGCGCCGTGCGCTTCAGATAGATGCTCTTCTAACGTCCAGCCGGTGCCATGATCTTTTCCTATCCCTGGAGGGCTGCGGACAGAGGTCCGGCAGAACTATCTCTAATGCCCTGTGGAAGGGAGAGTTGACCTTGGGCATGAGGACGACCCGGTTATCCAGGAAGGTGCAGAGGTCCTTCCTGCTGGACAGAGCGTTAAGCTTGGATACTCTCCTGGCTGAGGTGATGGCAACCAGGAAGATGACCTTAAGGGTCAGAAATTGTAGGGAAACCTCCCTCAAGGGTTCGAAAGGTGCCTCCCTCAGTGACTGGAGGACCGTGGGCAGGTCCCAGGTCGGGAATCGATGGACCAGTGGGGGTTTCAGATTCGCCGCTCCCTTAAGGAAGTGCCTTAGGACCGGATGTTGTGACAAAGGCGGTGAATCCACCCCCCAGGACCATGGAGAGGGCAGAGACTTTTCTCCTAAGGGTGCTGTGGGCCAGACCTTTCTCCAGACCTTCCTGTAGGAAGTCCGGAACCTGGATCAGGGAAGCCAAAGCTGGAACAATGTCCCTTGCTTGGCACCAATCCGCGAAAGCCACCCAGGAGGCGTTGTAGATGCGAGTGGTGGACTGCCTCCTGGACGCCTCGATGGTCTTAATGACCTTCACGGAGAAATGGGCCCCTCTTAGTTGTTCCCGCTCAGTCGCCAGACGGTCAGATGGAGCCACTCCGGGTCCGGATGCTCCAGAGACCCCTGGTGCATGGAAACCTCCCCTGGGGGAATCCTCCAGTGGGGAGCTGAAGACAGCTCCACCAGGTCTGCTAGCCAGGGACGACGTGGCCAGAAGGGAGCCACTAGTATAATCTCTGCTCTCTCTGACACTAACTTCCTCAGAACCCCGGGAATGAGGGGAAGGGGAGGGAAGGCGTAGAGGAGACCGGGCGGCCATCTGCAACGGGCATCCGTGTCCATGGCGCCTCTGGACGGGAACCTCGATACAAAGCTTGGCAGCTGGGTGTTCGATGATGTTGCGAAGAGATCCACTGTCGGGTACCCAAACCTCTCGCAGATCTGTTGGAAGACGTTGGGATGGAGTTGCCACTCTCCGTTGTCGACCGTCTCCCTGCTGAGCCAATTCGCCTGCTGGTTCTCTATCCCGGAGATGTGTTCCGCTCTGATAGACTGAAGGTTCTTCTCTGCCCAGTTCCCCAACCGGAGGGCCTCGTCACGTAGGGCCTTGGAATGGGTGCTCCCTTGTCTGTTCACGTGGGCCTTGGCTGCCACGTTGTCCGTCAAGACCAGGACATGGTGGCCGGTCACAGAAGTCTTGAAGTGACATAGAGCCAGATGGATGGCCCTGAGCTCCAACCAGTTGATGTTGTTGCGCAGGTCTGTTGGAGTCCAGCGGCCCTGGGCTATCTAGGCTTCCAGGTGTGCTCCCCAGCCGAACAGGCTTGCGTCTGTCGTGAGCACCTTCCTTGCTGGTTCCTTGAAGAGTGACCCCTTGTCTAGGGCTGGGGTCAACCACCAACGGAGCGAGAGGAGCACCTGGGGTGACACTCGAACCTTGAAGCTGGCGTCGCTCGTCCCGGCTCTCTGATGTGGAAGCAGGAACCACTGAAGCTCCCTGGTGTGGAGACGAGCCCAAGGCACGATCCCTATGCAAGAAATGAATTTCCCAAGGAGCCTGGAAAGAAAAACTACAGGGACAGAGCGTAATTTGCGTATCTCATGAACCAGCTGAACAATGCTGTCCCTACGTTCCTGGAAGAGGAACACCTCTCCACACACCGAATCTATAATGGACCCTAGGTGTAGGAGCCTGGTGGATGGGACTAGATGGCTCTTCTCGAGGTTGATCGAGAACCCCGGGGACCTTAGTGTGTCAATGGTGAGACCCAGATCCTGCCTGGCAGTGGCTGGGGACCTGGCTAGGACAAGGATGTCACCAGGTAGCAATGGAGTCGGACTGGGAAGGAACGAAGGTGACCTGCGGCCACGGCCAGCATCTTGGTAAAGGTCCTGGGAGCTGAAGCCAGCCCAAAGGGGAGGGCTCTATACTGGAAGTGGCTGCCCTCATGGGAAAATCTGAGGAACCTACGATTTCAGGAGCGATTCTGATGTGTAGGCCTCTGTGAGGTCGATAGAGGCCAGGAAATCGCCCTGTCAGACGCTTTCTAAGATGGACTTCAGAGAAGCCATCTTGAACCTACGGTAGACCACCTTGGAATTAAGGAGCTTAAGGTCCAAAATGGCTCTCCACCCCCCTGAACTCTTGGGAACCAGGAACAGGTTCGAATAGAATCCAGAGCCCTTCTCCTCCTCTGGTACCAACTCAATGGCCCTGATATCTAGAAGTTGTTTGATGGCCTTAGCCTTAAGGGCGCGTTTGGCTGAGTCTCTGGAGGAGGCGAAGGTGTGGAATCTATCAGGGGGCTGCGAGTGGAACTCCAGCTGTAGCCCGAGCTAAACTGTCTGGAGGACCCACTCATCCGATGTGACGTGATCCCAGGCGTCCGCAAATAGGGAGAGGCAACCGCCGATGGGGTGATCCGCGATTGGATCACTTGAACCTGCGGAAATGACGTCCGCCCCCTCCTTGAAAGGGCCACTTGCTCTGCTGCTGGCCTCTAAATCTGTCCCTTGTGAACTGCCTGTCCCCTTGTCTATGAAACCTAGGAACCGGGTACCTCTGATTCTGGGAGTCCGTGTCAGGTGGGCGGTAAGATGATCTCCTGGGATAAGGAGCCTGTTGGTGATCTGACCGTCTGGTCGTAGCCGGGAAGACCTTTCGCTTATTCTTCTCCTCCACCAGGATAGGATCCAGTGAAGAACCGAAAAGCTTGTCCCCGGTGTAGTCAGCTCCTGCCAGGTGCCACTTTGCACGAGACTCCGCCTGCCAGTGGGCACAGTAGGCGCCTGAATGCTACAGAAGACAACAAAGCTCGCAAGGCATACTTAACTGCATCCAGCGTGGCGTCCACCGAAAACTGAGTGGCTGCCAGCACCTTGGAGATGTCCTAAAGCAGTCGTACCTCCGTGGCCAGGGTCCTGTCTCTTAGCTGTTCCAGCCATAGTACTGTTGACCTGTTAAAAAAGGATGCGGACACGGCTGCCCTAATAGCCCAGGTTATTGCCTGGAAAGACTTACACATAATCATTTCCGCCTTTTTGTCTTCCGCCTTGAGACAGTTGGCTATGTCTCCAGTCACCACCGCAGAAGCTGAAGCCAGGCTAGCGACCGGAGTGTCCACTGAAGTTACCTGCAGCGCTTGGGTGAAGTTAGAGTTGAGATTATAAAATCTACGCTCATTACCCCCCGGATTGGGAAAGGACCCTGGCTTAACCCATTGGGATTTAAGCACCTCTAGGAACATCTTTGGAGTGGGGGTCTCCTCCTTCTCCACCTGGGGCCTGTGGAATGGCCCCTTCTTGCTACCCCCGCTAGGGCCGGGGGTGGCAGTTGCAGGACTGGGCTCTGGAGGGGTGTCCAGGTCTGCTGTGACCCTGGCCTTATGAAGTAAGGAGCTAAACAAGGAGAGGGGAAACAGCCTGGTGATATTGGGAGCCTCAGGGGCCTGGGCGTCCTACCTACCTCCTTCAACTCCCCTTCCTCTAAATCTGAAGCCTCGCTGGCAGTGGAGGGGGAGGGTGACCTGGGCTCTCTGGTAGCAGAGGCCCTGGGGCGATCCTGGTTACCCCTGGACTGGTCACGGGAAGACCTACTCCTGGAACCCTGGGACTGGTGTTTCATCCCAGACACAATCCCTTGGGCTATGGCCCTGGCTAACACCTCCTGGAAGCTTTCAGGAAGCTCTGGAAGGGAGGGGTGCAGCTCTGGGGGTTGCAGAAATTCCCTAGGTTCAGGGGATTGCAGTGCCAGCCGGTGTCTGGCAGGGCTGCGTGCCCTGCGCCCAAAGGGGTCTCCCTTAGCCTCAGATGGGTGGGCAGGGAAAAGGGGGGGGAGGCGATAGGGAGCTGCGCCCTCTGCCTGAGCCCCTTGGAGATCCCGGGGATGCCACCCTGGTCACTTCCAGAACAGGAAGCCTGCGGGGAGAGCGAGATCTGGAAGGAGAGGGGCTGATGGTGGCCCTGAACCTTCTAGCAGAAGCCCTGGTAATTCTAACCTCCTTCCCAGAGGTTCCCTTCCTATGGGGCCTGGGGGTCCCTTTCTTGGCGGGGGATCTCCCTCTGGTGACTGGGGCAACCCCCCTGGAAGTCCCCTCGCCTGGATCCGAGTCCCCTGGGGACCTAAGCCTGGCACCCCCGCTCCTCACCGCCTCCGCCATAGTACTCATGGTTACTGTACCACCTCCTCTCTCCCTGCCGGCCTCTTCTCTCTGTGTGCCTTGATCCTCCAGACACCACGCTCTTCCGACGATTGCCGCCACTCCGCGGCTCGATTGCCGGATCACCGCTGATTCTGGTCCCTCCCTGGATTTCCGGGAGAGTTGAGGCCTCCTCTTGTAGCCTCTTCCGGCTATAGCAGTGTCTTCTGAGCGCTCTCGGGGTCCATAGGAGGAACGCCGGTCACACGCTCTCCCACGTGCTCCAAGATGATGGAGGATCCAAAATGACCGCCGATCTGCGACCCGATCTCTTCCACAGCTCGGGAACGTTGGAGGAAGGCCCTGGCCAGTTCCTCGATCGCTGGTGCCTTGTGGAGGTCTCCTGGAGGGCGTGCAGCCGTCCCCGCTCACCTCGTGGTGCAGCGGCTTCTTCCCCTTTACACGGCCATCCGGCCGCCTGGGAATCGTGCTGGCAAGCGGCAAGGCTTTTCTGCCAGCAGCGCTGAGCACGGGTGGAGAGAGGAGTAGAATCCGAAGGTAAAACAGGAAAAATCTAAAATCCTAGAAAAAAATCTAGAAAAAACTAGACATTAGAAAAAAACCCTGAAGTCTATGAAGTGAGAGAGAGTCAAGTAAACACTCCTTCTGGGCCGGAGACTGAGGTTAATCTGGGAGGTCAGAGGAGGAATGGAGGTGTGGCCTCAAGATTTACCTCAGTCTCCAGGGCAAAAGGGCTGTGTTAATATCCATGTGTGACTCCTCCCATGCCTCACTTTGGAGACGAACAGACCTCTTTCAAACAGAGAGGGAGGGATACAACATCATCTATCTCCAGTCTACAACACAGTCCTTTCAACAGTTCCAAGAAGGCTCCACACCCATTTGCACCACTCAGGTGACCCCGAGGACACAGATAAATCTCCAGGTGGCCTCAATGACTCTCTAAAAGAATGCTAATGACTAGCTGCTTGCAAGGAATATAAATTCTTCCATTCCCCATCATTCAGTTAGAGCTGAAGAAGCTTCTTGGATGAGAAGTGAAACGTCTTCAAAGAAAAACCAGAAACTCCAATTGCCTCTTGAAAAAGCCCCTTTGGGACTGTGGAATGATTGGATTTGAAATACAATATTCTCCGAAGTACTGTAGCTTGTGGGAGGGCTGGGAAGAGGACCACCAGGGCTGCTTCAAGGAGGGCTAGAGAGAGCATTAGTCCTTCACCATACCGGTCTCATTCACCTCGCAGACAATCGCCGCTAGTTGGGTCCCTGCCTAGATTTCCAGGCTCTACCAGGGGAGACATCTCGCTGTCCCCTCCTCTTTCACCTGAATATCCAGGGGGTCATCTGGAGGATCCTTTTGGCTGACAGGCAACTGGAACTTGTAGGCCAAGATTGGCTCCCCAATCAGTCGGCACTAGGCCAGACCTGGAGCCTCCCATCCTTTCTCCGGTCTTCCCAGAGAGTTTCCAGAATGCCCAGGCTATTGCACAAGGCATTGCAGCAGGGATGCAGCAGAAGTCTCGGTCTTCTAGGCAAAGTTCTTCTCGTGGGACACCACAAGGTCATCCAAACAAACCTGGAACTTCAACTGCTCAGGAGCAACGGCCGGATTCCCCTTCTACGGCTAGTGAGGGGTCTTGCTTAGATGAGAAAGGGCAGAAGGAGGTTGATTTTTCGGAGGATGAGAATTTCCCACTACCAGAGGCTTCTGTGGTAATGGGACTCTTTCCCCCTTCTTTGTTTGGGTCACTTTTGCGCAAGGCCAAGGCCACTGCTGACCTAGGGGGCACACCTGCCACTGCTGAGACCCCTGCTTCTTCTTCCGCGAGTAGTAGACCTAAGGGTCCTTTCCACAGACCGCAGGTGGAGAAGGAGGAAAGTTTCCAGAGTGAGGTGTGGGAGGAGTAACACATGGGTATTAACCCAGCCCTTTTGCCCTGGAGTCTGAGGTAATCTTTTGAGGCCACACCTCC